CAGTAATTTTAGTTAATTATGTGAAAAAAAAAAGAAAGTAAAATGGGACAAAGACTAGACAATGAATGGGCATCTTAGCCCATTTCACGTTGCTGTAAAGGAAACGCCTGAGGCTGGGTAACCTACAAAGAAAAAGCATTTATTTGGCTCACAGTTCTGCTAGTTGGAAGATCGGGCATCCAGTGAAGGAAGGCCTCAGGCTCCTTCCACACATGGTGGAAGGTGAAGGGGAGCCAGCATGTGCAGAGATCACAGGGCAAGAGAGGAAACAAGAGAGCCGGGAGGGAGGCTCTTTATTTTATTATTATTATTATTTTTGAAATGGAGTTCTGTTCTTGTTGCCCAGACTGGAGTGAAATGGCATGGTCTTGGCTCACTACAACCTCCACCTCCCAGGTTCAAGCAATACTCCTGTAATCCCAAGTAGTTGGGATTACCTGGCTAATTAGATGGGGGTTTCACCATTTGGCCAGGTTGGTCTTGAACTCCTGACCTCAGGTGATCTGCCCGCTGCCAAAGTGCTGGGATTACAGCTCTGAGTCACTGCGCTGGACCCAGGCTCTTTTTAACAATCAGCTTTCTTGGAAACTAACAAAGGAAGTACTCATTTATTCCCCATTCTCAGGGAGATTATTCATCTGTCCATGAAGGACACACTCCCATGACCTGAACACCTCCCATCAGGCCCCACCTCCAACAATAAGGATCATATTTCAACATGAGATTTGGAGAGGACAAATATCAGAATCACAGCAAAGAGGAAGGGGGGTATATTTTAAATTGTGTGGTCAAATAAGTCATTACTGAGGGGCTAACATTTGAGCTGAAAACTAAATGGTTTAAAAAAAAAAAAGAACTATCCACATGAAAATCGAAACTTTGGCTTTCTTTCAAGAATACAAGATGGCTGCCATAGCTTCAAGCATCACATCTTCACATAACAACTTCCAAAGCAGGTCTGGGGATTTCCCTGTATCAGGAAGAAAAAGATTTCCCACAAACCCCCAGCACACTTCCCTGCATGTCCCACTTGCTAGAACTAGGTCGCACACCTACCCTCCAACCAGTCACTGGCAAAAGAGACTGGGATTGGCTGGGAGTAACCAGGGCTCCTCTGCTGGGATGAGGCAGGGGTATCCTTCCTCCTGCACCTCAACCAGACTGGCCTGCCATGAGCGAGGAAAAAGGGCAAAGCAGCTACTACAAAGATCATACTTGAGATTGTCATGCAGGATTTACTGAACACCTGACCATGTTCCAGGTACTGTGCTAGGAATTTTAAAAAGACCTAGGCACCACTTTCACTATCTCACTCTGCTGCTGAAAAGCACTCAGTGGGGAGGCCAGGTGCGGTGGTTCGCGCTGGTAATCCCAGCACTTTGGGAGGCTGAGGCAGGTGAATCACGAGGTCAGGAGTTCGAGACTAGCCTCACCAAGATGGTGAAACCCTGTCTCTACTAAAAATACAAAAATTAGCCAGACATGGTGGCAGGTGCCTGTAATCCCAGCTACTCGGGAAGCTGAGGCAGGAGAATCACCTGAACCTGGGAGGTGGAGGTTGCAGTGAGCCGAGATCACGCCACTGCACTCTAGCCTGGGCGATAGAGCAACACTCCATCTCAAAAAAAAAAAAAGAAAAAAAAGAGCACTCAGTGGGGGTAACGCCCTTTTCCCTCCTCTTCACCATTTCAAAGTCCCTGGACTGATGGAGATATAGTTCACAGCCACTTGCCTCCCTGTAGCCTCTGCTCATCTCTTCAGCTCAGAATGACTCCTCCTTCCTCTCAACTCATAAACCACATTGCTTCCTTTGACAAATACTCATTAGACATCTGGGCCCTGGGAATACAATTCTGCTGAAAAGACAAGGTGCCTGCCCTAATAGAGTTTCCAGTCTAGTGCTACAGAGAGATCATTCAATGCCCAATCACAAAAATGAAAAGTGTTACACGAGGGGAAATAGGAGGACCCACTCCAATGACCCAAACAGCAGCCCCCACCAGATGTTACCAGAGCACCTCAACTTATCCAAAGGTGTGGTGAGAGAATACATATTTGGAGAAAATGTCATTTAAGTCAAGGCTGAAAGGGTGGATAGAATTTAGGGAAATGGGAGTAGAGGTCACGAGTTCAGGGAGAAGGCAAGGCTTTCTTACCTAGAAAAATGAGCATGTGCAAAGGGCCAGAGGTGGGAACAGAGAGTTGGAAGCAAGGAGCAGAAAGAAGTTCAGCATTGCTGGAAAAGAGTAGGAAGAGAGAGAGGGAGAAGTGTCTGTAATGACAGTCGGAGGCCAGGCCAATAGCAGTGGAAAGCTTAGGACTTCATCCCAAGGGAAGCCATTGAGAGACTGACATGATTAGGCTTGCATTTTGGAAAGGGCACTCTTACTCCCATACTCTATTGCCTTTCCCACGCTTTGGCCATACTGCAAACAGGATAACCAACGAGATGCCATGGCAACAGGCTGGACCAGTGTAGTGTCCGGACAGTGGGTAGTAACCAAAGAGATCCAGGACTCAGTGAACGACGCGCTATGCCTCGAGAAGGAGGACTTAAGGAAAATTTCAGGTACTTCTGTTGGGCTTTTTTTTTTTTTTTTTTTAAGAAGGGTCCCCTTTCCCCCGGGGGAGGTTAGTGGCATGATCTCGGCTCACTACAACCTCCACCTCCTGGGTTCAGGCAATTCCCTTGCCTCAGCCTCCCTCCTAGCTGCGATCACATGCGTGCGCTGCCATGCCTGGCTAATTTTTGTAATTTCCATAGAGATGGGGTTTCGCCAGGTTGGTCTCAAATTTCTGGCCTCAAGCGATCTACCCAACTCGGCCTCCCAAAGTGCTGGGATTACAGGCGTGAGCGACCGCGCCCCGCCCTGTTGGGCATTTTGAAGAATGATGGTGTCCTTCGCTTAGCTACCCAGCACTGGATGGTATCATTTTTGTACAAGTTGCGTTTGAGCAGCTTCCCACAGGGCACCGAACACGCTGTGTTTACTAATTAACTTTTTAAAATAGCCTTTCTTCTCCTTTGCCGCCTGCCCCTTTCATATCAAAACCACTCCCTTATCTTGGGTCACACTTTTCTCCGACAGGCCTATTTCGCTCTTCCCCTTTGCGTCCACAAGCACATGAACAATGTAAAAAAACGCGGTTTATGTGCTTCTAGTTTTCATCACTGTGTCCCTAGAGAAAAATCCATACTTTTTTGCGAACCTACTAGGAGTCAGTTCCACCAGCCATCCCTAACACTGTGTTCCGCTAACGCAAACCTTAAGGCAGCGGATCAGACATTTAATGATGTCAGTGATCAATAAATTGCAATTAGTAATTGACACCAATCCAACATTTTTTTCTTGAAGGTCTTTTATTCACTATGAAAAAAAAAAAAAAAACAAAAACCACACCCTTTAAAGACGAAGCTCACGGGACCAACACGACGGGCCCAGGAGCGGTGTCAGTTCTGGGTATCCTCCCCCTGGCCTTTCCTGGACTCGCGTTATTTACAATATGCAATTTCACTACTTGAGGTTATCAGGTACTAATTTTACAATACTGTGTAGCTACATGAAGCGGCTCAGAATATACTATACCACTCCGTTTTAAGCAGTACCATGTCTGGATGAAGCATCAAAGTGAGAAGGGTGAACTTAAAGGGCCTTTAAAACATCTTGAAGCAATAACAAGCCATACACTGAAGCAGCGGCGGTTTTAAACATTACACAGGACTGAAACAATTGAACCAATTTGTCCTTTGTTCCTTTTATTGCATTCGTGATTACATTAATACTGTTTAAAAAGAAACTCAAAAGGCATTAAACTTCAGTACGAATCTACACAAAGTCCCCGAAGGGGCCTGGCTTGGACGAAACGCCCTACTCTGCCGCCCGCGCGCAGCGCCCAGAAAGCCACTGAGCTTGAGGCGCTCCGTCCCTAGGAAGCGACCTGAAATGAGGAATTGCTGGGCCGGGCCCTCGCTCTGCAGGGGAGGATCCGACCAAAGTTTGCCAAGTTTCTAGGCAAGCCCGGCTGCGCAAATGCCGCTTTTTCGCTCCAGCTGCAGGCCTGGCCCGAGGAAGCTTTGCCCCGGGGGTCTCCGGGCCTTCAGAGAAAAGTCCCGTGAGGCGGGGGGCGCCGCGTGGGCCGTCGGCCAGAGGGACCTGGCGCCCCGGGGCACAAAGAAACAGCGCGCCCACAGGGTGTCCCCTGACCCCGCTGACTCGGGGCCAGGGAGGCTCGGCGCGCCCCAGCGGCCGCTCTTCCCCTCCCGAACCCGCCCGGCCCACCCGCTCCTGCAACGCGGCCGCCTCGGCTCCGCTTTTCTCTTGCAGGGAGCTGAGTGCGCTCGACCGAGGAGGGGCCGCGCCGGCCGCGGGGCCCAGCCCTTCCCGCCGCGCCCGGGACCGCCCTTCTCTCCCGAGCCGGCTGATTGATGGCCCCGGCCACTCGCGCCCCCCGCCCCGGCTCGCCAGAGAGCTCGGCTGTGTGTTTTGGAAGCGGCGCAGCGGGCCGCGGCCGTGTGACGCCCGGAGCGGGCAGCGCCGCCCTTCCTTCCCCCCGGGCTCGGGCGGCGGCGCGGCGGCGGGGCCGAGCGGGCGGGGCGCGGGCTCCGGGGCGGAGGGCGCAGGGAGGGGACGCGGGCGGGGACGCGGGGCCGGGCGGGCTGGAGGGGGGGCGGAGGCCGCGCCGCGCACGCCCAGCCCCACGGCCCCGCCGCGCCTCGCGGGACAGGTTGGGCCGGCGGGGCGGCGCCCGGCTCCGGGGAATAATGAGTGTCTGTCAGGCCGTCCCCGGGTGACTGGGCGGGGCGGGGCGGAGGCGGCGCGGGAGGCGGGGGTGGCGGGGGAAGGGCGCAGGGCGGGGTGCGTGTTTGCGCGAGTGACTCGGCCGACCCCTCCGGCGGCTGCCTCCACCCAAGTGGGTGGGGACCCGCCCAGCCCGGGCGGCCGCGGCGGCTCCCTCTCCCCTCCCTGACCCTCCCACCCCGGGTCCCAGCCTCTACTTACCCCGCCAGCCCCGGGAGGCTCGCAGAGCGAGCGGCGCCGGCGTCATGTGACTGCCCGGAGTTGGTGCCAGGAGCCAGAGGGGAGCCAGGAGCGGAGCCGCGCGGAGCCGGGGCCCGAGCCGGAGCGCAGCGAGAGCGCCCGCCGCACGCGCGCCCGTCCCCGTCCCCTGCGGCCGCCGCCGCCAACGCCGCCCTGACTGGAGCCCTGACATTACTGCGCTCGAGGGGCTCCGGGCCTTTATTTCTCGTCGGCGGCGCCCCGCACCGCGCCTCGCAAAGTAAGTCCTCTCTCCCTCACCTCTGCTCCGCGTCCCGGCCCCTGCCGCCCGCCTCCTCGGCCGCTCTGGTTTCATTTTTTTCCCCCGGAGGGGGCCGCAGGGAATGAGTTGGGGGGTGCAGCGCTGCGCGGGGTGGGGGTGCGCCTGCGGGCTTGGGAAAGTGTGGCAGCCCCTCGCAGCCGGGGTGGGGGCGGAGGGCGAGCACGGGGGAGGGGGCCACAGGTTGGCGGTGGAAAGTGAGGGGTTGAGGCGATGCACCGTGTGGACGCTGGGTGCGGAGGAGCGGGGGCCGGCAGCGCCCGCCGCGGTCCAGGGCAGGGCGCGGGCGGGGGCTCACCTGTGTGGTCCCCGGCCTCCGCCCGCCCGCTCACGATTCCCTCCGAAGCCCCAGAAATCTCCGTGCTCTCCGCGTGTGGCAACGTTGTTTGGAGAAAGGTAGCGCCGAGGCCTCGCGCTCCTGCTCCTCCCCCTCCCGGTGCCCCCCCCAACCCCGACTCCCGCGTCCTTCCCCTCCCCGCCCTCCGCCCGCGCCCCCCGCCGCCCCCCTCCCGGGACCCGACGCTCGGTCGCTTGCCCGGCAGAGCAAACTTGGAGCAGCCTCCTGGGCCCTCTGGAAAGAAACTTGGGGCAATTAGGACTGGAGGCAGCATCCTATTCTCCGTCCTGGAGCCCAGGAGCTGCCAGGGCGTCTGGATCCTCCGGGGCAGGAGAAATGAGCCAGCCGGGTTTGGAGAGTCCTCCTGGGGGCATGGAGAGAACCTGCCGCAGTGCCTGGAGCAAGGATTGCAGCGTGGCTGAAGGCGGAGGACGCCTTAGGCAACTGCCTGCAGCCGAGCCTGGTGGGGACCCAGGGACAGATCCCTGGACCAGGACCCATGGGACCTACCTAACATTTTCAAGTGGCTTTCTTAGAGATGGCAGATAAGACTTGGAATTGTCATATTCATTTTTTGGGCAGATTACTACTAACAAGGAGAAACACTTTTCTGGTTTAAATTTTATAGCGGTATACAATAATACTAGAAGAATGTGCATGGGATTTAATAAGTCACGTTAAACGGAAATTGGAAATTGCTCACCTTCTTGTATTTCACTAAAATAAACATTTTACACTGAACCACTGAATTTCTTACTCAGAATTTATGTTTCCATTAATATCACTCAAGACACTTTAAATATATTGATTATTTTCTCATAAGAGTCTGGTATACGGGGAAAAGTATGAAGTGGTATTCTGACAAGTATGTGAAACATGCCAGCAAAATCAAGTGGGGAATAGGCCAGTTGTTCATTATAGGTTTTTCTACACAGCAGTTTTGTGCTATCCTATCCTGTATGAATTTGAGGGGCATTTGTACAAGAGAAATTCATCGGGATGATCTGCCTTACCCTAGGGAAGACTTGCTTTTAGGGGGAAAAACAGTCCGCTAGCATTAATATCTCCATTTTTTTTTTTTTTTTTTTTTTTGGAGTTTGTAATAGTGTTTAAAGAAAGTGTCCACGAATGATTTCTTCTGGTTCGAAAAGAGGTTTGTTAGTTGACTTTAGGCTATTAATAGAAACCTGAAATTAGATGTTTGATTAAATTAAACTCCCTAGAGAAACTGATTTCTTCATTTCTGCAGTCAGTGAGCTTTGCTGCGAACTATTTATTAGAAGGAAAAAACCTAATGTACTATCTATCTGTAAGTTCAATGATGATACATTGTAAAGAACATTTAGCTTGCATGAAAGAGAATGCAAGTATGAAAATCTCAACATGAAAATAACAAAGAAAAGTAACTGCTTAGACCACAAAACCTTGTCAGATACAAAACAACAGAGCTTTGCAGAAAGCTATTGTTTTATTCACTGCAAAGTTTCTAAATTAAAACCCAATTTTCTTGCTATGGGCACAGTCATGCTTCTTTTTTTCCTTTATTTATTTTTCTTTTTTTCTTACCTGTTCTTACATCTGCACACACCAGATTCTTAAATCTCTGATAATATGAGCTTGAGTTAAACAGTCCTGGCTAACAAAGTAAAGAGAAATAATGGGAAAGGAACTGCGAATGGATTTTACTATCTTAAAAATAACCCAAAGGGAAAATAGACATTTTAGAATGTCTTGTAGAAATTAGTACTCTGGCGTACAGATTGTGTAACAATTTTTAGATTAAATGTCAGAAACAGAATCACATTCTTAAAAGGTAAATTTCTGTAAATGTGTGTATATGCTGAACAGATGAGCAGCTCTGCAAAAATGTGTATAACTGCATTTGAAAAAGACAGAAAATTTTGGGTTGCTCTAGATGTCCCACAGTCTGTCTTGGAATTCTGTGACTAAAGGAGGCTTACCATTGCTCCAGTTTTAGTTCTGTGGGGTACCCAAATGTAATCTGAATTCCTAACAGTGCTCTGTCTTCATTTTCCTCTTGATGCACTGAGGCTGAACCATAATCATTACCCTAACCAGGAATTTGACCAGAGCTAGGGACTAGCCATTGGGATGGGGCAGAAAGGGACAAAAGAAATCGGGAGGGAGGCTAGTGTTCATTAGGGAGGTCTCTGCTGCTTGAATATGATAAAATCACATTTCACTTATGATGTTTACTGTATGTGGCAGCTCTTATTTGTAAATAGGGCAGGTCCCCTGTATAAAGCTGGTGTTATTATTCACACCCATAGAACAAACACCTCCACCCCCCTGTTGTTGTCTTAAAAAACTCCAGCTGCTCATGAATATAGGGTCAGGGAGGGCCGGCTAAATGTTTCTCTGTGCTTTCTCTCCAGCACAGCCAGCAGAGCTGTTTCCTGTTCTTTGTTTCAAGGCTGGGGTTTGCGTCATACATTCCAAGTGGCATATGTGTGCTCTTTCCTGTTTCAGGCTGTTTTCTGGTAGATCAGTAGCCCAGAGCAGGCTGAGGTCCCTGCCCCTAAACTCCGTATCCCCACCCATGGAGTTATCATGTCTCTACACACTTGATATTGCTTAAGATGCCTGTGTTATGTCATAATGAGAAGTCAGTTAACCTTTTTACGTCCACCCTTTGCTTCACTGCATTTGTCTGGGTGAATACATGGTTTTACCTTGTTAAATTTTTCATTGCCACATTGTGATTTGGGGGAAATTTCGGTCTATCTTGGCAAAGAAACCTAAAGGAGTTTTGTTTTTGTGATTCTTGTGTTGAGGTGGTTAGGATGTTTGTTCTAAGATAGGCATTTTGCCCTGAAGCTGTCAATTTTGGATCAGGATTAACACCTTACAGTTTAGAAGACCTAGCATTATATGAAAGATGTGGCCCACCCTTGTTCACATTAACCCAGGATGCTCCAGGCGGCTTCGGTGGATGGAGAATTGAAGCAGTGTTGGCAGCCTGGGCTTAGTTGAAAGTCCTGCTTGTGTTTGGAAGAAGAAATCTTTGGAAAAATCATTGAAGCAAAGCATAAGACATTGAGAAAATCCCAGGATTATTTCTTTTTAAGGACAAAGATTTAAATATCAGGATAATGTTTTAAGGACAGAAATTTCACTGTACAATATTCTACATCTCATTTTCAACCCGTTCTTAAGAATTAAGCTCAAAGAAAAGGAGAACTGGCAATAACAAATTCATTCAGTGATAGATCGTTTGAAAAATTTTAATCTTCTATTTTGAAAACAGAAGAAAAATGCTCTTCTCATTTTCTTTTTACAATAACATTTTTCATTATTTTTTAAATATTCTGTCAGTTGTGGGTTAATGAATTTCTGAGTTAACTATTTAAGACCTATCTTAATATTATTTTTCTTTTGGTTCTTGATAAACTAAGATTTAAGGAAATATTTGGTTGAAAAAGAAAAGTTTTGGAAAGTTCTTTTATAAACTTATTTGGGGATTTTCTTTTTTAATCGAAAGGAATAATTTACAACGTTGCCATGGAATTAATTCAGTGTTGCTGAAGCAGCAAATCAGGCCCTCTGATCCCCAAAATTGATGATAACGATGCTTTGGCTTTAAATGTCACATTCCACCACATTCTTTATGTATAAATGGAAAGTATAAAATATGGTATTAAGAGAGTTACTTGGATCAATTACTTGGCTACTGATAACCTTCTATGACAAAGGCCAGGAGTTTTGGAAGTCCTCACAAGTTCTTTCTCCTTTGGGAAAAGCATCTTAAAATACTAAGCTGACCTGCAAGACAAGAGGTTTTTAAGCTTAAAATTCATAAGTAAGTCAAATGGAAGCAGGGTTTTTTTGTTTGCTTTGATTCCAAAGTTGTTAACAATCTAACTAGGTTTGGTAAACAGAGTGTGCATTTGGCTTTCGGAAAACTCTTTCCTCTCCCTTTTGCAGGGAGATGAAGTGGTTGATAGAGGTGATCAGGGCCTAATATAGTCTATCAGAAAAACATTCTGCAAGCTTTTAAATGCTAAGCTGAAAAGTTGAAGAAAATTATACTATCTTATAGTTGCTATAATTACAAAAAAATGGGAATGAGTTTTATTTGACCATATAAATAAATCCTGATTCTTAATTCCATTGTGTCTCCATCTCCCCTTGAGAACTTGCCTTCTTAATATTTTCAAATCAACATTTTTGCTATAAAATGACAGCTTTCTTGGGTAGTATTTCTTGTTCTCTGTTTTCACACCCAGTTGTGTTTAAAAAAAATAAATATAGGCAACCTCATGTTTTAAGGTACTGAGAATTAAATTATTCTGGAACGTGGACTCTCCGAAGTGCTTCATTTATCATTGGTTCTAGCTTTTTTAAAAAATAAATCTGTAGAATCTTAAAACAATTGATGTCTGGTTTGCTAGTATGTGATATTCTAGTCAGAATTCCTCTTGGAGGTGAGTTGGATTATGATGGTCGCTAGCATTCTCGTTTTGAAGACCACTCTGTTCCTTTCTTAGACCCTGTTTCTCATCTTAAGCAGTCATGCCAGAGCTGGAGACAGGAAACCAGACAGCAGTCTGCCCTGATAAGGGACAGCATTGTCTGAAGGGGTTAGCCCTACTTTTTCCCCCAACTCAACTCTCCTTCCTTGAAATTTAGTAGTCATAGAAGAGGCACAATGCTGTTGACAGTTTCTGAATTAGAACTAGGATTAATTTCCTCCAAAGCAAAAAAAAAAGTCTCCTCAGCCAGGTGTGGTGGCTCACCCCTGTAATCCCAGCACTTTGGGAGGCCAAGGTGGGTGGATCACCTGAGGTCAGGAGTTCTAGACCAGCCTGGCCAACATGGCGAAATCCCATCTCTACTAAAAATACAAAAATTAGCTGGGCATGAGTTGGGCACGGTGGCATGTGCCTGTAATCCCAGCTACTTGGGAGGCTGAGGCAGGAGAATCACTTGAACCCAGGAGGCAGAGGTTGCAGTGAGCCGAGATCGTGCCACTACTCTCCAGCCTGGGCAACAAGAGCAAGACTCCGTCTCAAAAAAAAAAAAAAGTGTCCTCTTAACTGGCCCTGTCCTGATTCTGTTATGTGGCCATATCCAATGGAATATTTGAAAAAAAAAGAAAATGATCTGTATGTTTTGTATCTGTTGGCCAAAGTTTGTAGTAAAATTCTTTCTTTAGCAAAACAGGTTCCTGGAGGTTTTTGAAATTCACTCCATTGTGTCGGCAGGCTGAATTCATTATCATTTCTCCATCTAATTATTTGGAAGGGCTGGAGACAGAAGAGAGCAAGTTCAGTGGCCCTCTAGCCTATGCATTTCATGTGACTCCTGGGTCTGGCTCTTATCCTGTTTTCAGTAAGGGGTTGCTCCTTGAGGCAGGCCCTTTGCAGGAAGACCCAGAATTGCCCTGCTTAGTCCAGGACATCCTCAAGATGGTTGCCAATCTCTGGAAGGCTTGGGGATCCCGCCAGGGATGGCCCAGAGCTAGTCTTAACCCAAATGAGTGGAGTTTGGCCAAATCTTGACATAAGAGATCCAATGGATATTGAGGTCAGCGGGTTCTACCCTGGAGAGCGACCTGTGAATCAAGCGTGGGTTTTTTTTTCTCCTTTGGCCTATATGTTCTTTCTACTACTACTGTTGTTTAAGTGTAATCACTGAGATCCACTCCTTTATCTTTTCCTGTACTTTACACCCCTGGTACCTTCCAAAACTTCACACTCCAAAGCCACTTTCATTTATAAGATCAAGTTCCTGTTCCACTGAGTTTCCAAACAAGGGAGTTTTTCTCCTGGGCTCCCAAAGTTTCCACGTTTACTTTGCATTTTAGAATATGAGATGTCAGGCCAGCTTCACTAGCTGCTGGACAGCGTTTCCATGTGGGACACCTGGTGTGCCATCATTCCAGGGCCCTTGCCCTTAATTTGTCGTAGCATGTGAGAAGTGTAGTTTGACATCCATTCATTTATTCATCTCACAAGTATTTATTGAGTACCTACTTATTAGAGCTAATCTCAAATTATGTGCAATCATTACTCTGAGTTGTACCATAGGATGGAGTAGACCTGCAGTGATCTAACCTGAAAAGGCATTTTGAAATCTTAATTGCCTGCTGGAACCTCCCCGGCCCCTGCTTCCCATGGGCCAGCGTGGCCGTGCACACCCACACCCTCCCTACTGGGGAGTGACCCCAGCATGAGGAGATGTTACCTAAAAGTCGGTCCCACAGCACAGGCTCTGAAGCAGAACAGAAAGTGCCCGGGTCTGCAGGCAGGAACACTTCTGTTCCTGGCTGCAGCTCCAACCAGCTTTGTGAAATTGGGCAAGTCGTTTCACCTCTGTTCCTCCATTTCCTCATTTCTAAAATGGGGATGAGGACCTGACCCTTCCACCTTTGTACAGTTATTATAAGGATTTCCGTATTTACTTGGGTCAAGCTGCCAATTTTTCTCAGCAGTTATATGGACAATTGCAGGTGCACTGGCTAGGAAGAATAATTGCCTAATTTGGGGCCTTCAGAATATGTCTTTTGATCTTGCATCCAAGTGTGCATACTGAGACAGGGTGGGCAGCAAGGGCCAGTTGGGAGAAGTGGAAATGGTCACTACCATAAATAGACTGTCCCCACGTTGTGTCTTCTCCAGGGACCAACCTGTTCACAGAAATCACTATCCTGCACTTACTGTGTGGTGTAATGTCCTCTGTTTGGGGAGGTGGTAGAGTGATGTGCCAAGGCTACCAGTCTTGAAGTCAGACTACCTTGGGTTCAAGTCCTGGCTCTGCAGGTTAGCAGCTGTGTGATGTTGGGCAGATTACTTGACCTCTCTGTTTCAGTGTTTTGTTTTGTTTTGTTTTCAGTAAACTGGGAAGGTAGTAACCACCTCATAAGCATTAAATGACAGAGCTCATGTAAAGAACAGTACCTGGTGGTTACCAATCCTGAAGGTGGTAGTGATTGGCAGGAAACCTGGGACATCACTTAGCCCCTTGCTTTCCTTGACCCTTTTTCAAAAACCTGTGTTTGTGTACACACCCGTTCCCCCAGCAGTTCCCCCCCCCTTTCTCGCTCTCTTTTTTCTATTTTAGATTTTAAAACACAGTTGAGAGCTCGACACTAGACTTGTTTAGAAGACCTCACTGAGTAGATAAATTCTTTGAAGATGGTACTGATAAGGTCTCTGGAGTACAGGTTGAGGGGCCAGGCTAAGGTTAGGGGCAGTAACTTGTTCTTAGGAAGTTTGGTTTACTAGGTCTCCCTTAGAGTTAGGCCCTTCACTCCTATTACTTGTTTAAGGGAGAGATTTCAAGTGCATTCAGAGGGAGAGGGAAATGATTGTGGAACTCCTGCTATGAGCTAAGTGCTCTTACCTTAGCTCCTTCAGCTTGACATAAAAACTTCATTCAGGGAACAAGCCCGATCTCCTGTGGGGAGTGGGGAGGGGGCCCTCTCAGGAAGGCTGAGGCCTGCCTGCCTGTCCTTACCAGTACTGCTGGCTGTGTGGCACGCACCACTGGGAAAGCAAAAAGGCCCAGGATATCTAGGTAAGAAGAGGCGGCCTTGGATTCCCCCAGGGAGCAATCAGCTGGCTGCGAGAAGTGGGGAGGGCCTTGAGCTGCTCTTTGAAGAATTAGGAGGATTTAGATAAGCCGGAAGGGGAGGGGGCATTCCACGCTGGTTGCCCAGCATCAGGGCCAAAAATGAACAAAGGCCTGGGGGGTGGGCAGGGCAGCCAGCATGAAGGGCACTTGTTGGAGCAGGGGGCAGCTGGTGGGGAACGGGGTGCCAAGCATGGGTGCCTGAGCCCACTGTCAGACCCGGGGAGTGCATGGGAGGGAGGTTTGTGAGCTGGGAAAGGACAGGAGGAGAAGAGGACTGTGAAAATCATCGGTGATCAGGGGCTAGGGCTGGACTGGAGAGGCCGAGAGACCAGTGGCAGAGAAGCTGCAGCTAGCTACACAGGCCCCCGGGGCAGGAGTGGAAATGGGGAGAGCTAAGGAGGTGAGGACGGCTTTGGAGGTGGCCTCTGGGTTTCCATGGTGAAGAACCAGAAAATAAGGCCGGTGGGAGGTGGGGAGGGGCAGCCTTAGAGGCAGGAACGAAGAGGAGTAGGGTGGGCTTGGGCCACATTGAAAGCGGTGGTTCAAAATGCTCCTCTCTTTTCTGCTTATTTTTAAAGGGAGAGGGCAGGCTTCGCTCATAGTTTTGTATCCAGAGGTTCAGTGGCTTTCTGGGAGGAACTTCAATGGAGAATCCTCAGGAGTGGAGGGAATGATCACCACCCCACGGTTCCTTCTGGTTATTTTTAAGGTTCCAACCATCCTTGTTCAGGCCGGAATTTCCAGGAACTGGCTGCTGCCCAGCGCCAACTGGTCCCTCCCAGCCTCCTACTCCCTGCAGGGTGGGGCCCCATGGGTGGAGGCTCCTGAGGGTGGAGTTGGGTGGGTCTCCAGTGATAGGGAGGGCACTGAGCAGAGGCAGATGAGAGGCAGCGTGGCCTCACGCAGCCCTTCTGGATTTGATTATATAACGCTTCACAGAAGAGAATTGTGAGGGCTTAGGCGAGGCCTTGTGAGATATATACACAGCAGGATTAGACATTATGGGTATTTTTCAATTTAGCTTGGGTTGCTTGCCCTTAAAACTAAAACACAAAATTGTCAGAGAGCATAAACAAGTGTGTAACCCTAGTAGGGAAAATGATTTGAGTTTGCTGTAATTTCTCTGAGAAGGGTGTGGAATGCCACTAGCCAGATGGCCTTGAACTTGCCAGGGTAGCATGGGTGTGGGCGTCCCCGCCCCCAGCCCTGCTTTGCTGGGCCTTCCGTTTGGAAAGGCATCAGGCTTTTGCTTGGTTGTTACCTTTGCACCTGTCCTTATTGACATGCAAAATCAATTGCTTCACTTGGTCTTTCCGAAGTACAGGGTGTGGGCAAAATCTTATCTGAAGCCATGTCCTGTTTGGACAAGTTGGACTTGCCTTGGCAGCCCTCCATAGGGTGGAGCAGATGGGTGGAGCAGGAAAGTAAAATTGGGTGGCTTGTTAGCTGAGAGAGGAGAGAGGGCGGGCTGTTTGCTCACTGGATCATTATATTTCATCTGAAACAAAATAATTAACTTCTTTCCCATTTACAATGCACATTAATGCAAAATAACTAATTCACAAGGGGCAAAGATTTAGAAACATCCCATGGAAGTTTTCTACTTCTCAAACCAGTGATAGAAGAGTAAGGCAGGTGAAAATCTCGGAGTGGCATGAAAATTTCCAAGAATTTCCAGGTAGGAATTTCCAGGTAGGTGCCATCGCGCTTAGCTTTTCTTAAGGGAGCCTCCAGCTTAAAAATGCCTGCTGACATCTGTTGCCTGTCCCCTGTATTTCTGGCCAGGGCAACTGCCCGTAAATACTCGAGCCTTTGGGAGATTTTGAAGGATTTGGGTAAAGCAATGAGGGAAAAGTTTCTCTGGACAGGAAGTTTGTTTAGCTACAAGGATGTTGCTTGCCTGCCTGGTCCTCCTGGCCAATAATTACACACACATGCACACACAGCCTTTTTTTTTTTTTCTCTAAAGTTCCTTTGGGGAGTAAGGGTGGGGGAAGATAACATGTTTCCCCTTTTAAAAATTCAAACACTTGGAAGAATAGAAAGGGCCGCCTAGTGAAGGTGTGTTGCCGTATTGCTCCGTACACCTAGCTGAGGTCAGCTAGGAGACTGAGGTTTGCTTGGAGGAAGGCAGGTGAGTTGGAGGTTCACGGCCAGTCCTGGGTTGGGGAAGATAATGCAGGGACCCTTTGAGGGTCTGCGGGAAGAAATGAGGGCATGGAAAAGGGAATAAATAGGGAGATAAGAAGGGAGAATGTCAGCGGCAGGTCTTGCTCTAACCCCAAGAAGCAGGGAGGAAACTGCTTCTGATAGGTACACATTGTCTCTCCACCTTCCTCTTCCCTCCTCCCTCAGGAAGGGGCAGGCAGTCATCTCTAAGGTCGTTTCTGTAATAAATCATGCTGTAGCCTCCAGGCAAGCTGCTTTCAGAGGAGGTTTAGTAACCTCCTAGCGTCGTCTTCCATGAAGGACTGCGTGTGTGTTTCTAAGCCCTGCAGCTCACCTGCAGCACTGCCCCCACCCCACAGAGCAGCAGTGCACAGGCCTAGGACACCACTGGATGGGGCTCCAAAGCGGGACTGCATTACTTCTGAAATTTCATGTCAATGATTCACCAAGCATTTTAGTCTTCAAGTCCTTTAAGCTATGTCTTGCATTTTGACGGAAATTTGACCCTTATTTTAACATGGGAAAAGTCAGAAATATAGGTGGAAAGAGTGTGAAGGGAAATCTGTTTCTCCTTTTTGAGGATCATTCAGTGTTATTGGCCTTTCTCTGCAAAATAACACAGCTGGGGAAGATGGCATTAGCTCCAGTTATGGAAAAGTATTTTGGCGATGGTGATCTTCCTATATATTTTTGCTTTTAAGCACCTCGATAACGTAGAAAGTTTAATAAAAAGTTTTTCCCTTTTCCCCCCCTTTTAGATGCAGTTTTGTTTTCCTGATATTGCTTAGTTTATTTAGCCTTAGAGTGTATTTCTAAGACTAGCTAATGTGTTTCTAAGGCTAGCTAAGCTAGTTAAATGTAATGAAGATATGTGTTTAGGATTGGAAAATTGTCATCAGAAAAAAAAAAAAATAGAACCACATTTAGGGCCTCCTCCTCTCTGTGATACTCACATAAAATGATTAATAGAATTCCTGAGCCTGGTTAAAACCCAGTAGGCTTTAAGACCCCGACATTGGCAAACTGGATTTTTACTGGGGTGTCCTGGTCTCTAATGCCTGTTTTAGTGCGCCACCTACTGGTTCTACTTAAGATTGTCGTCAGTGCTGTATAATAGATTTTCTAGGCATTTGTGGTTTATTTAGCATTCTTACAGAGTGATAATAACCCCATTGCACTGAGCCGCCCATGGGTACCAAAGACCACCAAGTTTAGGGACCCGAATTCTTCCAGTGCTTAAGTTACTTCTCAGTTATGTGGAAAGCACGTTGAAAACTTTACACTCTTTTACGATTGTAGACCAGAACCTGTAAGCAAATCCATACCAATGACAGAAGTGGTCCCTCTACTCAGAGCTATGGGTGCAAAGTATAGAATCTTTTTGCAAATACATAAACAAAAGCCCAATTTCTGTTCATTTGTTTGATTTTCTTTCTAAAATTTCATTCCTTCCTAGCTTAGCTTCCCTATCTTGTCTTTATTACAAGTTTTGATTATTGAAATAATAAACTTGGCCAGGTGCGGTGGCTCATGCCTAAAATCACATCATTTTGTGAGGCTGAGGCAGCCAGATCACTTGAAGTCAGGAGTTCAAGACCAGCCTGGCCAACATGGTGAAACCCCGTCTCTACTAAAAGTACAAAAATTAGCCAGGCATCATGGCAGGCGCCTGTAATCCCAGCTACTTGGGAATCTGAGGCAGGAGAATCACTTGAACCCAGGAGGCAGAGATTGCAGTGAGCCGAGATCGTGCCACTGCACTCCAACCTGGGTGACAGAGTAGAACTCTATCTCAAAAAGAAAAAAAATAGAAATAACAAACTTTAAAAATAGACCACAAATGTATAGAAAGCTGTCCCACCCACCACCACTACCCAAGAAGTTCCTGTTAACAGTTTTGGGTGTGTGGTTCCAGGCGTTTTCTTTGCATGTCCTTTATCTTCTTGTTTTATATCCTGTGACTATCACTAAAAGCATCGTCATTTAAAAGCTATTTTAGAAGCTACCCAATTAGGAACAAAGTGCTTTTAGACCTGTGAAATAGCGAGTGCATTTGATTCTATTCATTGTGATATTTGAATTCTGCACAGACTTTTTTTTTAATATCCAGGGATGCATTATTTAGTTAGGAGTTTCAAAATTAGGTATTCTAATCCTATCATTCCTTTGTTTATTAACTGAAATACTTCTGTAATGAGAATATCCATTCATCAACATTTGGATTACTTAGAGGTACAGTCCTGAGCAAATAAACATAGCTTTGTAATTATTTTTTAATAAAAGCAAATCAGGTTTTGTTAGTACCAGTGTTTTTTACTAGGCTTAATGTTTTTCTTGGGATGACAAGTCTTGCATTTCCTTAAACTTAGATAAAACAAAAAAATTAAAGAACAATAGTGATTTAAATAATGCCTTAATGATAAAAAGATACAGCAGGTTAATGTGTAATTCATTTCTAAAAGAAATCAGTAGTCATTGCTGTGGCCATTAGACAAAGTCATTGAAAGCTTTGTGAGCTAAATAGTGGACTTAGAATTTGAACCAAAAGGAACTCCAGAGCCCATCATCTTAATTTATTCTACTGTGCTGCAGTTAGTGGTAGTAAAGAGTGCAGGGTAACATGAAGTGTGGAGATGGCAGCCTCGCGCAGAAGCTGTGGCAGTAGTACAGTTGTGAAATGACAAGGCCTTAGAGGAGACCTCATACAGGAGGGAGGCAGCTGTTAACTTTGAAACTGAATCTAGTCTGAGTTTTATTTAAGGATGGGGGATAGACCTCTGAGGCGAGGGTATGTTAGCAAAGAGGCAAACACCAGACATTTTTGCTCCAGAAGTGGAACCAACACATTTAGTGTTGTGTGTACAGAATATATAGCCAAAATGTATGTACATGTGGATATAAATGAGGGCAAAAGGGGTGTGTGTGTGTGTGTGTGTGTGTGTGTGTGTGTGTGTGTGTGTTTTACTCTCATTGGATAGACCTAAATCCTTGAGAAGTAGGTAAGGGAGGCATGGTCTGCATTTTGCAAATGATCACACTTACTCCGTGGCTGGGCTAGTTAGCAGTCTCTGCTTGAGTCTCAAGACCGTAGCTCCTTACTTATACAACTGAGAATGTGAATGATTTTATTTAGAAGGATTTGCGGCAGGCTGTGGTGGCTCACGCCTATAAACCCAGCACTTTGGGAGGCCAAGGCAGGTAGATCACCTGAGGTTGGGCATTTGAGACCAGCCTGATTAAGAAACCCCATCTCTGCTAGAAATTCAAAAAATTAGCTGGGCATGGTGGTGCATGCCTATAATCCCAGCTACTTGGGAGGTTGAGGCAGGAGAATCGCTTGAACCTGAGAGGCGGAGGTTGTGGTGAGCCGAGATCATACCATTGCACTCCAGCCTGGGCAACAAGAGCAAACGCCATCTCAAAAAAAAGGGGGATTTGTATCAACATACTGTCTAGTGCAATAGATGAGCCTGGAAGAGTGAATTCAGTATAAAAAGCTGGGGGTGCAGAGGTGGGAGGCTGCCACAGGGCGGCCAGCCGTGAGTCAGGGCTGCTAAATGATCTGACCTCATTGATGTAAGCAGGAGATCTCACATCTTTTGTTTATAGTCCACTGTGGGGCACTGGACAACAGTTCTTAGACCCAGGTTCATCCATACAGCTGCTAGGCTGAGAACTGGTTAATAATAGATCCCAAGACACAAAAGCGTTTTCATCCCTCATTATGAAATCATCTCTTTTTCACTGGCTGTCGGGGTTTGTTCTTGCTGGAATACATACAAGGGTAGTAGCACCATTGATTTGAGCAGCTTGGTATCAAATTGCGTTTGCAGATTATAATACACCCTGTGATATAGGAAAATACAGTTTTGAAGTCAGGGCCTTATGTCGAATTATTGATGAAATTCACGTGTTGTCATGAGATTCAAAACAGACTTTCTTCAGGGAATCAATGAAGCACAAGAACTACATAGTATTACTTCCATAACTGTGTGTGAAGATATCTTAGTATAACCCGTGGAGCACCAACACAACAAACTACAGGGCTGCCCTCATGGAGATGGGGATGGGGGTTGTTAACACTGAAATGCAAGAAGTCATCCTGAACCTGGGACTCCTGCAGCTTCTTCAGCTGGAACTCACTAGAACTTGTTCACTTTGCCACCCAAAGCAGGGTGATCTGTAAAGGCCTTACCTCTAACCAAAGCACTGAGCACCTAAACCAGATTTGGCTAGTGAGTGCCTGAAGTCGATTTCTGAAAATGTGTCTAGTAGCAGGACAGTGTTTCTGTAACTGAGGAGACACACTGAACGTTGAGCAGACTGAATATTTCGTCTTGTGAAGAAGCAGTTGGCTTGATGTAGATTAGTGTTAGGAGTGGGCTATACAGAACACAGAAGACAATAGAAGGAATGTCAGCAGAGAACAACAGAAGAAAAGGACATTTCCTTTACAGTAGGCTCATTTTCTAATGAGAAATCTGAGTGAAAGCAAGCTAATATTCTTCATATGTGAAAAGTGCTTAGAAAACAATAAGAAGTTGTGCAGGGGTGTCAAGACCTGAGTAGACATTTCTCAAAAGAAGAAATCCAAATGGTCAATAAAGCTGAAAAAATTAACTTCAGTAACCAAATCAATTTAGAATAAAAATCATTTGCCATTTTGAGACTAACAAGTTGGCAAGGTGTTTATCTTTTATAACACAAGTGATAACACATGTTGCTGGCAGAGGTTTGGGGAAACAGGTTGTATTTTATTAATGAAAATAATAGTTCATCTTTGCCAGATGATGCATCAGATGCTTTGGGAAATGTACATACTTCTCACCCAGGAATTCCCGTACAGAAAACTTATTTTAAAAATTAATGGAGTGCAGAAGGATATATTTAAAAGGCTCATTGCTGTTTGTAATGGTGAAAATTTTGGAGCAACCTAAGTGCCCACTAAAAAGGAGTAAGTTAAGTAAACTGATGTGTTCACACAGTGGCACAGGGGATTTGATGGTGCAGAATCAGACTTACTGAAAAAGAAATGTTTTCACAATAAATTTTTCAGTGAAATGACAGGCACTAAATAGCATGTACACTGTGAGCCCACTTTTAAAGAGGGTTGGTTAAATGAAAACGAGATTTTAATGATGGTTGGTTCTAGGTTTTCTTTTTGCTTGTCTTTTATGCCCGCTAATTTTCCTGTAACCAACATAAGGGGAAAGGGGAAGGTGCTTAACAATCATACGCAGTGTGAACCTCTATAAAGAGTTGCACAGCAATCCAAGCAAGCTTTGCCGCTCAGAAGGGGCTGTATGTATTGTTCCAGAAATGTCAGGGTTTATGTATTGAGTTAGAAATGGTGGTTGCTTCTCAAATGGTTATGACCAGGGAGTCTGATTTTAATTATGTAAATGGCATCTTTCATAGGTAAGGGAAACAAATTCCAGCCCTTCTAGGGGTAGGGGAGAAAAAGGAGTGGAAAGGTGGGATGAGGAGTATTGTATTTTATTTTACTTTTTATTTATTTACAGTATTTATGGTTGGTTTTTTTTTTTTTTTTGAGATGGAGTCTTGCCACATCACCCAGGCTGGAGTTACAGTGGCACCATCTCGGCTCACTGCAACCTTTGCCTTCTGGGTTCAAGCAATTTTCTTGCCTCAGCCTCCCAAGTACCTGGGATTATAGGCGTGTACTACCACACCCAGGTAATTTTTGTATTTTTAGTAGAAACGGGGTTTCACCTTTTTGGCCAGGCTGGTCTTGAACTCCTGACCTTAGGTGATCTGCCTGCCTTGACCTCCCCAAGTGCTGATGAGCCACCAGCATTACAGGGGTGTAATGCTGTAATGAATAAATCACTCATTACAGGGGTGAGCCACCGCACCCAGCCTATATTTTATTTTTACTAGTTTGTATTGGGATTTAGATGGATACCTTGTTTTGTTTTCTAGGCCATACACCAGAGCACCCTAGAAGGTTTAACTAAAATAATGCTCATGTTTGACCCAGTTCCTGTCAAGCAAGAGGCCATGGACCCTGTCTCAGTGGTAAGTTTTCCAAAATGGAACACCTCACCTTATTTTTTCCAAGTGATGATAACATTGTTGTGTGTTGAATTACTCCTTAAAATCACTCATTACTTGACAGGCATTTCATAGGCAAACTTTTTCTCAACATCCCTAAGTATGAGTGAGGGAAATACTGTCCTAGCTGCTATGGGTCCTTTAATAAATGTGGTCTGTGCTTCCTAAGACCTGTGCCTGGCGTCCCCGTAAATATGTTCAGCGTAGGACTTAGGCCATAGGCAAATCCTCTCGGGACAGAAGTAAGTTTACAAAAATTCCTCAGCCCTTTTGTGTGTAAAAATATATTAAGAATAGAATGATTTGCTTGAAACGAATGACAACAGCCATATGGAGCTGTGACTATATGAGAGATGACTGAGGGAAGCCAGCGAGAGAAAGAACTTGGCAGTGAGGACAGAATCTCATTTACTTGGAAGAGTCTGGCTGTGTGGGAATCAAGTTCATTGTCCTTTTCAGCACCTTAGCGCTAAGCCAGCCCCTCCTGTGAGCCGGGCCACTAGCTGCTTTTAGGTCACCAGGGACTAGCAAGGTTTCTGTAGCTCCAACATCAGTGCCGTGGAGGGGAGACATGGTGACAGAAAAAGGTGTCTTGACTTCAGAGACGGGAGTGGTTTCAACTTGAGAGATCTGCTTGAGTGAATATTGAATAACAAGGCAACGCCCCCACTCTGTCTTGCTCTTTTCTTCCACGGGCTTGGAAAATATTCACAAGGGGGAAAGCTTGGCCCGAGTTGTGTATCTGAAGGTTGGTAATAACACGCTTACAAAATTAGATCATCCTTATGCATTGGCTCTGGAGGTTCCTGCCAAAAATGTTTATACAAGACACGGGGGTCACTCCGAGGCCCTTGGAGCTGAGTTGCCATGGATATTACTAAGCCAGTGAAGTGTTTACCAGTATCTATAATGGGAGTTAAGTCAGAGGGGCTTTAAGGAAATAACATTTACATTCCAGCCTGATAACTGAATAGCCGAGTGTCTGAATATGGTAGCAACTGAGCAGTAAGGATTTTATTAATCAAAAAACTAAATTATTCTTTTTTTTTTTTGAGATGGAGTCTTGATCTGCTGCCCAGGCTGAAGTGCAGTGGTGTGATCTCACTGCAACCTCCATCTCCAGGGTTCAGGTGATTCTCCTGCCTCAGCCTCCCCAGTAGCTGAGGTGCCCACCACCATGCCCAGCTAATTTTTGTATTTTCATTAGAGACAGGGTTTCATCATGTTGGCCAGGCTGGTCTTGAACTCCTGACCTCAGGTGATCCACCTGCCTCAGCCTCCCAAAGTGCTGGGATTATAGGCATGAGCCACCGAGCCTGGCCAGAACTAAATTACTTCGAATGTTACACAGTACTGTCATTATATTCATCAAATCCTGCTCCCCGCCATTACTGCATGATCACATTAGAGGAAAATGAAGGTATAAAATTTCCCCATTAATTATATTCTTGAAATAGGAATAGGTTTTTAGCACTGGAGAATATGATTCATTTTACAAATGGTGCAGAGCCATCAGTGATGCATTTTACTGTTCAGTGTACTTCCAGTGCTTTTAATCAAGCATGAAAATCAGGCTCAAGAGTCCAATAGAGAGCTAAAAGGAAGATCCACATTGATAAATTGGTGTGATATGTGTAATTAAGTGCAAGGAAATGCACTTAACCAAAAAAAATGTAGAGTAAAATGAATTTGAAGTAACTGTTAAACTTGTATTGTTGTAACATGTTAACACACGAAGTTAAAATATGTAGAAGTGTTTTTGCAATTAATGATCTTTTTCTCCTTCATGTGCTAGATTTCAATTGCAACTGACATTTTGAGAATTGAGTTTCACCAAAAGTTACTGTCAGTCCTTAAAATGAAGGTGTTTTTTTGTTTTTCTTTTTTTGGCTTTAACTTTTTTTAGCAGGAAGTATTTTTTTCTTAATTCAGTGCAACCTCAGTTAACAGAAACATTTGAAGAGTGGGGTGTTAAAATGATTTTACTTCTAAAAAATTAAAAAGCTTTTGTTCCTACTCTTAAATCTTCAAATTTCATCTTTTCTGCCTTCATAGGTGAAGTATATTGAACCTAATTTATTATTCCTTTTTTTTTTCTAAATTCAGTCTTTGACCTGAAGATCAAAGTCTTTGGTTATTCAAGTCAATGTTGTAAACATTAAGGCACAATAGGACATTGTAAAAATATTTTTAATTTCTACATATGAATAAAAATATTTTATGATAACTTATTTCTCCCCCTTTCCCCGCCCCTAGAAGGACAGTAAGCACAGCAGAAGCAATCTGCTCATTTGGTCTTTTGCTACGTGTCATTTCCCTCATAACCAAATATAAGTCCTCATACTGTTCGCCACTAAGCCTTGTGCTGTGAGGCTTGGGGTCACCCTATTAAAATTTGCAAGAATGAGGAACAGAGTAGACTTTGCCTCCCCAAGTCTGTGCCCTAAATCTCTGCTACTCACTGTCCACCCAGTGTTGGCAAATCACCAGCAGCAACCTGAACTTCCAGTTTTGTGGGGTTTTTTTGAAAAATTACAAAATATGAAACTGGTGTAAAAAAATGCACATGTACATAAATTGTTTTTTCTTTTACCGTTTCCCAAAAGATTGAAAATTAAAGGATTTAATTCAGGAAGTTAGCAAGAAAACAAATTCTAAAAATAAAACAAAAAGTACTCTTCTATTCCTTTAGAAAGATTACTTTTGGAGACGGGATTAATAATATTCTGTCATCTAACAGACTCCTTATAGATAGGGAAGTTTGTCAAATGAGTAGTTTCCTCTGTGGTGTTCTAACAGAAACTCTTCATGGCGCTTTCAAGCCTGGTAGACAGAGAGCTTTCTACCTCTGTTTCCACGGGGGTGCATGCCGTTTGCTCTTTCCAGAGTGTGTTTATACATGCACCACGCCTTCCTGTGCCTGGAACCCTCTCTTGGATGAAGATTCCTTTGACTTGCCCTGTCATGGACATTCACTTTTTTTCATGTTGATGAATAGTGAAATAGAGATTTCATCCACGTTTCAGTCACTTCATCCACTGAAACTCTTACAGTGGAAAACTCACCAAAACTATACCTAATAAAACAAGAAACATATGCAATTATCACCTCAGCATAAAGTGATAGAGCTTTGGGAAATTATCTAAACCTTGTACCTCTTTCCCTGTCGCAATTAAAATCATTTTCTCAAAGTTCAAAATAATTGGTATATTTTTCTTTACCTTGTCAGTAGTAAAAACCCTGCCAAGAGAGAGTGTTAATTTACTCCACATTCATGAAGTATTAATTGAGCACCTATGCCCGGCCCTCATCACCTCACACTGCAATGAGAAGCAGCAGTCAGTCAGTAAATGCACACTGGGCGTATGAACATCTGAGTGCGTGTTACAGACAGAAAGAACTTTTCCTTATAGCAGATTGGTGGTTTTGTTTGGTTTTGTTTTGGTTTGAGACAAGGTATTGCTCTGTTGCCCAGGCTAGAGTACAGTGGTGAGATCACTGGGCTCAACAATCCTCCTGCCTCAGCCTCCAAAGTAGCTGGGGACTACAAGCAAGCACACCATACCCCGCTACATTTTGTTTTTTCTGTAGAGATGGAGTCTCACTATGTTGCCCAGACTGGTCTCAAACTCCTGGCCTTAAGCAATCCTCCTGCCTTTTCTGTAGAGATGGGGTCTCGCTCTATTGTCTAGGCTGGTCTCAGACTCCTGGCCTTAAGTTCTCCTACCTCAGCCTCTCCAAGTGCTGGAGTTGTAAGTGTGAGCCACTGTGCCTGACCCAGCCCTTGTGTTTTAAGCCCTTGCGATCCCCAGTGGGGGCCAGAGTTGGGAAGGGCAAAGCCCATGTCTGTGTCTTGTCTTTGGACTGCTCTGTTCCAGGACATAGGGCCTCTGGGGCTAAGCAGCGTGCACAGAGGGCGCTGGAGGTCCGTCCATGGCCAGAGGCGCATTTTCTGCTTCATCAACACTTGTCTCTGATTTGGATTTGGGGCCAGTACAGCCATGCTTGTGTGCATTGCTTTGATAGAACATGGGAACGGTCTGGAGCAGAGGGGAAGACTGTTACCAGGTTGTACCTGCCCAGGGCACACACCCTGATCACACCCAGTGTCAGTCCCTACACCGCACCGGATTGTTGGAAGCTGATTCCGAAAGCTTGTGTGCTCTACCCACCAGATAAGATAAACTGTTTGAGGGGCCACATTTCGTCACCCTTTTGTGAGGCCTTGGGCTGGAAACAGTTAATTATCTACCCAGAGTTGGGTGTCTGTGTGCAAATCTGTCTCCCCACAGTTAGTCTTATGACTTACAATAATCGCACATCTAATAGAGGGAGTGAGGGCATTCATATGAGAACAGACATATCAGCAAACTGGTAAAACTTAGCTTTACGTGTGGCTTTTTCTGTCTTAATGGCTTGAGAAACCTGAGAATATTACTAAATTTGCAAATCTGGAGGTTCTAAATTCCTTCTCTTCCAAAACTCGCCCCATGCATAGAAAAATCCAGCAATGACAGCCATAAAACTGTGTCCTCATTTTGCTTCCCATTTAGCTGCCAATAACTATTGGCATTAAAATCTAGGTCATAGGGAGGTCTTGGAAGAATTGGATTGAACATAAGGGAGAAGCTACATTTTGGTCAATAGAAGAAATGCTGCCTCCCACTTCCTAAAGGTTTTTTTTTTTTCTAATACCAGAACCATTGCCCTTTGGAGAATTATATGAAGCACATTAGACTTTAGGACTAGGTGAAATCCTTCTCCCTCCTATATTTACTCCCTGAAACTCTCCAATGTACATGATTTATAGTGTATTTTTGTTGTTGTTAATGAACCTTGTGCCTCTTTTAATAATACCTATCTTAATATTTAAATTTAAATCTGTTTAATACTTAATGTTGCTATGTTTTGGACCTCTTGTGTTGGTACTGTGCGTGCCTGGCTTTAAAGAAAGGTGGAGAAGCTTTTCTTCATTTGATCCTTGATATATAACTCAAAGCTATTTTTATTCATTTTGTGTTTTGTGATTTTTATATCCTTCATTTTCCTGTTTTTAAGCAGCATTAGTGTGAAAACTGGCTGGGCGTGGCGGCTTATGCCTGTAATCCTAGAACTTTGGGAGGCCCAGGTGGGCAGATCACTTGAGCCCAGGAGTTCCAGACCCGCCTGGACAAAACCTAGGCTCTACAAAACTACAAAAATTAGCCAGGCATGGTGTCATATGCCTGTAGTCCCACTTACTCCAGAGGCTGAGGTGGGAGAATCATGTGACCCCAGGAGGTCGAGGCTGCAGAGAGCTATGATCATACCACTGCACTCCAACCTGAGAAACAGTGAGACCCTATCTCAAAAAAAAAAAAAGAGAAAAGAAAATTGTTTTTCCCTCCTTTAAAAAGACCTTTAGTGTTTTTGTTTTATATCTCTGTCATTTAGATTGTTGCTATTCAAAAGGTAGTCTATGGCCCCTTGGTCCACTCCCCAGGAATTCAAAATTTGCATTTTAACAGGTGCCCCAGGTAAATGGATGTGCACAGTAAAGTTTGAGAAGCTCTGGTTGTGAGCGGCAGAGCCCGTGACAGTGAGCATTTCTTGTATAAGCAGGGACAAGAAGGGACTTCTAGGACAGCGTGTGTTAAGCTCGTTGCGTAGGCTATCCCATAACCTCACAGCCTCCTGGAAGGTGGGGATTCAGAACAACCTTAACAAGTCTGCCATATCCTCATAGTGCCTGCACTCCTAATAGTTCGTTAATAATTTTTCCTGCCTTCTTTTACAGAACTGCTTTTTCACATAATCAATTTAAAGGCAAACTTGGTGCTGCTACTACAAAATATACATGTAACAGTTTTTGCTGGCACATACAGATAAACACATAACAATTTAACTTAGGGTATGCCCGTCGTGTTCCCCACCCAAAAGCATGTTAGGTACACCCCAAGTGATATGCAGCACGCTGCAGGAATCCCTGTTCTGGGAAGTTACACAGATTATAACAGTCTGGATAAAGAAAGAACAGAAGATAACAAAGCATGATGTTAACCATGAGGACCTGATAAAGATAAATAAACACAGTGATGTGATAGGAAGCTTCACTGCCTGGCCCCTCCTCGATAGTGTGCCGCTCTGCAGGCCTGGAGCAGGGACTGGGCATCTGGAATTTTCAAAACACAGATGATTCTGATGTATGACCAGCCGGGGATTCACCCAGACCGAGCCCAGAGAGGAAAGTGGGTGATCTCAGTAGGAATCCCCGTCAGAACCATTGCTGCCCCACAATCATAAAGCACAATAGTGGCCCCTACAGGGGCTTAGGGGGCCCAGAAATGAATAGCGCATTTAGGGTGTTTAATTATAAGGTGCCATTGGGGGGTTTCTTTGTTGCATCCCGAGTTAGTATTGCCTGTAAATCATGAACACGTAGGATCTTAGAGCTGGAAGAGAAGCGCCATGTGTTGGTTTATCACTGTCAGTGTCAGCCATTCAAGTTCAAAGAACTTTCTGCAGGTAAGCAGGCTTGACACGCAGAATTTCAGTTTCCCTAAAATGCCGAGTGAAGAAGTTGGTTTATCTTGTTTAATTTTTAAAAAAATTAAAAATTATGTTGCATTCTACAAAGAAAATTTACAACAAAATGTTAGTTAAGGAATAGAAGTAATTTAGGTGAACTCCATGGTCAAGGATAGTGCCCATAGTGTGAAATTATTATGATTGGTTTGTATGTAAAGCTGGCAGATGAAAGTTAGGGTATCGTGATATTTAAAGAGACAAAGGTATTTGAAGATACATGAGGTCAGCTGTATATCAGATCTTGGGAAGGAGACACTCTCTTGTCTCCTCTGATCTCCCTTGTTTGTCCCCCAGCCTCATTTGATGAATGGGTAGCAGTGTGTAGAGGAGAGAACACGGGGCCTCAGCTTGTGTGAATGACCCTGAGCACCACATTTCCTTATTCAAGTCATAGCACGTTAGCTGTTTCTTATAGTTCTGTGTCACCCACAGACTTGGCATTCAAGTCTACAGCTTCATTCAGATTCTGAATAAGAACATTGAGCAAGTTAGGGCCAAGGACATAATTGCCCCAGTGAGGGTGGCCTTCAGGACAAAGGTGTGTATGGTGACTGACCCCCTCCTGGTTTGCCTGAGACTGTAGAGTTTCATGGGATGTGGGACTTTCAGAGCTGAAACCAGAACAGTTACGGCTGACTGGGATTGTTGGCCAATCCTAGGCATGGATTGTTCAGCTGCTGAAGCCCTTCAAAAGAAAGATACTGTCTGTCATGCAGCCCCATTCTTCCTTATTATATTCAAGTATGATGAGCAATCAATATCCTGCTGAAGTTTAAAGACATTACTTATCCTGAGAAATCAATGTCCTGCTGAAGTTAGACACTAAAGCTAGAGAGCATTTCCTGCTCATCAAGAAACCCCACCAGAAAAGCAACAGGTTGGTTTGGCTTGGCTGGTTCTTGGTGAACCCCAGCTCTGACTCCCAATGATAATGGCCCCCATGCCTATGCTAGCGCCTGTCTTAAAATTTTGCCAGGCATCAATCAGCCTTAATGTTTGACACAGGAATCCTCTTGGGATTAAATTTCAGATTTTTCATGTGCGGTAGTGACCACATTGATCTTAGTTTTAATGTTTATGAGACCGCCTCTCATAGCATTTTCTTTGTTCTTTGTTTTTTGGGTTTTTGTTTGTTTGTTGTTTTGTTTTGTTTGTCATCCAGGCTGGAATGCAATGGCATGATCTTGGCTCACCGCAACGTCTGCCTCCCAGGTTCAAGTGATTCTCCTGCCTGAGCCTCCCAAGTAGCTGGGGTTATAGGCACCCTCCACTACACCCAGCTAATTTTTGTGTTTTTAGTAGAGACGGGGTTTCACCATGTTGGTCAGGCTGGTCTCGAACTCCCAACCTCAGGTGATCTGCCCACCTCAGCCTCCCAAAGTGCTGGGATTACAGGCGTGAGCCACCACACCCAGCTCTCGTAGCATTTGTAATGTTGTTGAGGCCACTTCTCTAAGAGCATTTTTTTAAGGTCAAGTATATATTGAAATCTAAACCACTTTGTAAAGCCCTGGGGATTGTTAAGTGCCTTGTTGACACGTTTTTGTCTTAATTCATGTTTCAAGTAAATGCACTTGTTTGGCTGTTGACACGTTGTTTCCCTTTGTATCCTATAGTCATACCCATCTAATTACATGGAATCCATGAAGCCCAACAAGTACGGGGTCATCTACTCCACACCTTTGCCTGATAAGTTCTTTCAGACCCCAGAAGGCCTGTCACATGGAATACAGATGGAGCCAGTGGACCTCACGGTGAACAAGCGGAGTTCACCCCCTTCGTCGGCTGGGAATTCGCCCTCCTCTCTGAAGTTCCCGTCCTCACACCGGAGAGCCTCGCCTGGGTTGAGCATGCCTTCTTCTAGCCCCCCGATAAAAAAATACTCACCCCCTTCTCCAGGCGTGCAGCCCTTTGGCGTGCCACTGTCCATGCCGCCGGTGATGGCAGCTGCCCTCTCGCGCCATGGAATACGGAGCCCGGGGATCCTGCCTGTCATCCAGCCAGTGGTGGTGCAGCCCGTCCCCTTTATGTACACGAGTCACCTCCAGCAGCCTCTCATGGTCTCCTTGTCAGAAGAGATGGAAAATTCTAGCAGTAGCATGCAAGGTAAATTCCGCCTCTGCTCCATGCCGCTGCACTTGCCTAGCTTACTGGTGCTTCACCAGACAGGCTGGGTGAGGAAGCACAGGGCAAGGGCTGCTGAACTCTTCAAAGGAAATACTCATCTGCCTAAGGCATTCATTTTTTCTTTTTTTTCCCTGAAGTGTTGATACTGGAAGAGATCCCAACAATCAGGCTTGTCTGTTTGATACCATGACATGATTACTTTAACTGTATAAGAGTCAACCTGGGGATAGAAAGAACCTTGACTTTATGTTGCTTTATTGAATGCCAACATGGTTCTAGGTACAAAAGGCATTTAATAAATACTTTTTGATCATGGTGAAAACTAATGCCAATCAAAAGCCTCTTTGTTTACTGACTGGTCATAGACAGGACTATGGGATTAAAAGGAAATAATCCAGAATTGTAAGAATGAATCATTTCAGGGCTGGTGTCTTAGAATCCAGGTCCCTGTATTTGCTGCTTACTGGCAAAATGATGATCAAGAGAAGCAAGAATCTCCCACAGATTTGTTCCTGCTATAATTCTGCCAAAGGCAAATAAATTTCTCATATCTGTATAGGAGATAGGAGCTATGCAGTAAGCCTTTATAAACTGAAATTGGTAAATGGTAAGTGGAGTGACTTTTCTATTTTTATTTTTTAGTACCTGTAATTGAATCATATGAGAAGCCTATATCACAGAAAAAAATTAAAATAGAACCTGGGATCGAACCACAGAGGACAGATTATTATCCTGAAGAAATGTCACCCCCCTTAATGAACTCAGTGTCCCCCCCGCAAGCATTGTTGCAAGAGTAAGTATATTTAGGTCTACCCAGCATTTGCATAGTAGCATGCATCTTGGAACCTGGAATGGAAGCACAAGATTTCACATACCTGATGTGGTGTGAATGACCAGGAATGGCTTATTGTCTGTGGCCGCCACTGGCCGGGTATCACTGGCCAAGATGGGAAAATCTCTCCAGAAATAGTATGCTCTCTGTTAACACTGACAACATTATGACAAAAGTTACGTCAAGTTTTCATTGAATCAGTCATCTGTGATTTTGCACCTTACCACACGAATTGTTTTTGTTTTCTTTCCATTCTTCCAGGCTATGTATGCATAGTTCTTCCATGATGACAATCCTTGTGTAGATGGAATTTGGTGTTCTCTGGGTCATATAAAGTTTTCATGTGGACACACATAGTCCTCCCAGCTGTCACTTCTAACCTAGTATATTGTTTCTATTATGGGGAATGTCTGTAATCACCATCTGCAGGCCAACCACAAGCCCAAAAGAGATGCTCCAGAACAAGTCCTGGAAATAGTGGTGGCAACTGAAAGTCGTCTGTGTAGCTCAGGGAAGTCCAGCATTGAAAGAACTATTCTCTGGTCTTTTTAATCATGTCTGCCTACAGAGTGTATAGTATCCTGTAGAACTGCCATCCAGTAGCAAGACTGTGCAGTACTGGTCAGCATCCAACCACCTGAATGGTGGTTTCTTATAGGTCTAATGTGGTATAAGGTGGTAGTGCCACACACAGGTTCAGTAACCTCATTTGTAAGATCCTGCTGTAGATAACCTTGGCCTCTACCAGTGATTACACTAAGAGCGGGGTTTATAGTTGCTAAAAAGATGGTGTTCGGGTCCAACAAGGATCCCACCTCCGCTCTTTACCATATATATGATCTTGGATTACTCACTTAATCTTGCTGCCCTCATTTCTATTTTCATTATTGATTGTAGTTGTTGTAATTGTCTTGTGTTACGGGTGGTTCAACATTGGATTCAGCAGCCAGCTTCCTAGTACAAAGGCAACAGTTAACTCCACCAGGTCCCCTTCCATCGTCTTCCTGCATCATTTTCCTCCAACTTGAATAAATGTTCTACCCACCTTTCTCTTTTATCTTCTCCAGCCCCTCTGCCCTGGTCCCTCTCACAATTAACTCTGCAGCGGAATGCAAATTCTTAAATATATCCTAGTTTTGTATCCATATTCAGCTTGGGTAGGTACCTTCATAGTAGCTTATGGATTAATTGTCCACTGCACCCAATGATAGTCCTTTCTGGTTTGGATTGTCGTATGCTCCCTGATAGATGAAGAAGAGAATGACTCTCAGCCAGCTGCCTGAGCAGGTAGGGAGAGAGAGTCTCTGATAGAATTGTATGCTGTTATTTCTCTCAATCACATAGTGCCCTCTTCCCTCAAAAAACCTTCCCAGGTGTTTTCACAGCAATTATGTCATTCCTCCACAACAAGCCTGTGGGAGTCAGAGCAAAAAGCAAACTGATTGCCTAAGACATTAGATAACTTGCCTGTAATCACACTGCTAACAACTGAGGGAACCTGGGCTTGATCTCCTGCTTCCAAATCAGGGCTTTTCCTGGCATCTTATCATATCCAACCCATGGCATCTGCCCATGCACACAAGTGAAAGGAAAACATGACTAAGCAAAATGGACACATCTTATAGGTGGAATTACCTCTTTATGTTGAGGGATGTCTCTAGCAAGATAACTAGAAAGAGGGCATGCACTTATAGTTGTTCGTGCATGGGTGATGAAAAAGATGCTGTAAAACTAAATAAAGCCAAGTGCCTCCATAGGGAGGGATCTGTTGACTGGAAAAGTGTTATTCCAAAGTCTGGCATGTTGCAAATTGCAATGTAAAACATTACAGAAGATTTGAAGGCAATATTTCGTGCTTTGAATGCTGCTCAAAAGAAAATACTTTTTTCTTATTTTAAGTAATATTCTTTTGATGATCTCAAGCCCAGTGGCTTTTAGTGATTAATGAGTAATATGCTTATTTTAACGCTGTCCTAAGAATGCATTTTGCATCTCAGAAGAATTCAACAGATTAGCCACAGCTGGGACATGTACTCTTTATAAGTAATGTTCCCACAGATGTGATTAAGTAATGTCTTGGAGTGTGCCCAGTAGCAGCCCACGTAGGAAACCAGCTAGCCAGGAAAGAATCACTTGAAACTAGGCACTTAGTACCACTGCAGCCCCAGTAATATTTGCCTTAGGAAACCCTTTCCAGAGGCAGGCTTCAAAGTACAGCTTTGAAATCCGTTTGCTTGATTGTGGTGTTACAGCTTTAGGTTTCTTTATAAAGGCACTCAAAGGTACATCAAATTCCTTTTGTTACAGATTTACAAAAAGATTTATTTGTTCCAAATATACAAAACTGTATTTAGAACAAAAAGCATAAGAATCAGATTTCCCTATTGAGTTGCGTATGTGAATTGTAGCAACCTTAAAGATGGGCTGTGTCAGCTCAAAACAGTGGACAGATAGATGTATTAGCTCTCTAACTTCTTGGTTGTAATAATCCCAAACCATTACTCTTTGAAAATGGGAATGGAGACCAAAAAGTGCGAGATCCCAACACTCTTAATCTAGCCTTGGCCTGAACCAACACGAGTCTCTTAAGAGATGCAGCAGCTAACTGTGCTCAGACTGTTTGAGGGACACAGCTTAAGCAGAGGTGTCCTGGTTTGGGGACATCCTCAAAAAACTAATGAAAATAAATAACCATGGGGTACAAAGTTACAAATAGAATATTTTGAACCTCAATATTCATGGCCACCATTTAGTAGCTTTATCTTGGGAACAGACATTGTTCTGAGATAGAATCTTCTGAGATAACATCATCATCATCCCCAGTTTACAGAAAGGAAACCATGACACAGAGAGGGTGAGATCTTGGCCCAGGATCACAGAGACTTGTCAGTGACAGGGCTGGGATTTGTAAATTGGAGCTCACAGCCTTTGGATGCACCTTTACATATAAAATAAACAGCTGGAAAGGGCAGTCAGAATTACTGCACAGAAACGATTAGATTCCCAACCCATAAAATCTAATAATTGGGAGAGATTTCTAAAGTTATCTGAGAAAGATAGTCTCCCAGTATCCCAAAGACATGCAAGTTAATCATGAAATTTCTGCCCTGGCATTTTGTTTCCTGAAGTTCTTTTAATGGAGAAGAAACATTTTCATTAGATGGCATTAAAGCCGAAAGTTAAAAATAAACTGAACTATTTTCTTTTTATTGAAGGATTTTAAAGAATAATTCAGCCTTATAAAAACTGTGTCTGTAAACCTCTCACTTTGCTGTGCTCTGCTGTTTGTTTGCACATACACATATAATTGAAGTCCTTGTTCTTTTCCCCCTCTTCACTATTTTATGTTCACTTTTCCTTGTATGTAAACTTGGCCTATTTTATCCATCACTACCCCGCTTCCAGATATTAGAGTAGGAAGGTGAGAGTCAAAATTGACAGTTTCCTTTGCTCATAATAAAGTGTGAGAAGTAAGATCACATAAGAAACACACCTTTTATTCTTTTGTAGTCACTTCTTAGCATACTTGAAAAAGTTATTGACAAGGGATGTGTATTCAAATATTTACCAAGACTAGTTTTATATCAAGAGACTCCCTTTTGATTTTTATGGATAAATTTTTTTATCCTTTTTTTTTAAGCTCACGAGTTAGAGTGTTTACTCTCATATTATTTTTTCCTTTTTACCCATGTTTTTTCTCCCCAAACACACTAATGCCAAATATTCCTGCATTATCTGGAACATTTTAGGAGCTTTAGATTCAACATGAAAGAGAAAGAAGTCTTTCATGACAGTTAGAGGCCAATGACATACACTTGTGATGTATCAAGTAATTAGTCACTAGGAAAGTGAATGAGCAGATTAGAACATTTTAATTACTTACATTAATCAGCGGGGGAAGCCTGAGAAAACTTGACAGACTTCTCTCAGTTCCTCCAGCTCCCTTTTTTCTCCACTATCTTGTGGAAAAAGAGAAAGCTTAGATTATAAGATTTTTAACAGGGTTTGGTTTGGAATCCACCCAGGGAAGGTGCAAACTCAGGAGTGAGAGAAATCAGGCAGGCAGAATGGCAGTCCCATGAGGGAGCTGGCACCACGTGAGCCAGCGTCATGGGTGACCACGCCGCATTGAAGTTCACCCTCATACAGGAATCACAGTGACAGTGGAGGTTTGAGTTTGTGAAGACAGCAATGCCAACTTTTTTTTTCCTTTGGAAGAGCCAGCATTTGAAAATTGCATGTGAATTGGCAGTCTCTAAGGGACTCCAATTAAATGCCAATTACATAAAGGATAAAAACGTAGATATACTCTACCATGTGGTTTCCTGAGACTTAGGAGTTTGATCTTTTCCATTTTTCCCTAGTGAACAATAATGAAAATCAGAGCAGCCTGTGGAAAAATACAGTGTTCAGCATTGCCTGGAACCACAAGATTCTATAAATAGGCAAATGTTGACTGAGGGAAGGAGCCTCCCAGCACTCGGCGCCTGCCTCTAGAGTAGCACCTAACCCTTCTGACTGTCATTACTTATCTCCATGTCTGTCTCCCCCTAGAGTGTGAGCTCCTCGAGGGCAGGAACCCTGTTTTTATTCATCTTTGTGCCCCGGTGCCAAGCACAGTGCCTGGCTCATGGTAGGTGCCCACTCAATGTTTGTTGAATGAATATAGCAGTGCTTCTTGGGTTGATCAGCTAATTTCTTTTTGTTTATTTTGTTGGGATTTTTTGTTTGTTTCTGCCCAGTGTTGTTAATGCTTTTAGTAGACTGATGAAAAAGAAAGAGCCTGCTCTCAACATTTTGCCTTTAACCTTGGCTTTCACAGAAATCACCCTTCGGTCATTGTGCAGCCTGGGAAGAGACCTTTACCTGTGGAATCCCCGGATACTCAAAGGAAGCGGAGGATACACAGATGTGATTATGATGGATGCAACAAAGTGTACACTAAAAGCTCCCACTTGAAAGCACACAGAAGAACACACACAGGTATTAGAAACACCAGAGTCACTTTATCTTTCTTCTTAAGATGTATTAGAATAGAATACAAAGGTTGTTCTGATGAAAGTTTTTTCAGGCATCTTGAAAGTTATCATAGTTGTCTCCAGATGTGTTGTCTCCAGACGAGTTGTGCAGAATGAAGAAGTTGCTAATGATTTCCCTTTGTAATAAGTTAGAATAGATTGAAAGTAATCCCCGTAAGAAGGCTGCTCACAATCACTTGCAGTTCTGTGCTCTCTAGCAAAGGAGGGAGAAAGAGTTGGAGCCTTCGCTGCTGGAACAGAGGAAGTGCTTTAACAGACGACCATGTGGCCTTCATATGAGCTATTTCACATGTATACGTTGTAAATTTTTGAGAGTGAAGAACAGTCTTTGTGCAGCACAAATTAATGCAACTGGGCCAGGTACAGTGGCTCACACCTATAATCCCAGCACTTGAGGAGACTGAGGCGGGCAGATCATGAAGTCAAGAGATCGAGACCATCCTGGCCAACATGATGAAAACCTGTCTCGACTAAAAATATAAAAATTAGCTGGGTGTGGTGGTGGGTGCCATTAGTCCCAGCTACTTGGGAGGCTGAGGCAGAATTGCTTGAACCCGGGATGTGAAGCTTGCAGTGACCTGAGATTGTGCCACTGCACTCCAGCCTGGCGACAGAGTGAAACTAATAATAAGAATGCAACCGTTGAACACAATTCAGATAGAAGACTGCCTTTGAAGGAAAGAAAAGTGAAGAAATTTGGATAATATGTATCATCTAAAATTGAGGAATTCTTCCGCCATTGCCTATCATGTTGGTTCTAGGATTTCTTCCATCTTGCCTAATACTGAATATAAGCATGAGCAGCCAGAGCATAATAAAGTTATTATATAGCCGAGAAAAATACGAAATTGGTCTCCGTGCTGAACATTTTGGTTGTCAAACATCTTAAGGAAGTAATACAAAAATGTTTTAACAGCCAGGTGCAGCAGCGTGCACCTGTGGTCCCGGCTACTTGGGAGGTTGAGGCAAGAGGATTGTTTGAGCCCAGGAGTTCAAGTCCAGCCTGGGCAACATAGAGAGGCCTTGTCTCTTAAAAAATTTAAAATGAACTGTTTGAACAGCCTGATTGACTATTCATAGTGGTGATGTATATACAGTAAGACTCATCTCACCTCAGACTCTTTGAGGTGAAATTCTAATTTGACAGCAGTTTACATCTGTGTGCATTTTCCTTAACAGTGTAGGTTGCTCTTCTGAGTCTTGCAAATCACTTCTACTAAGAAAATTTAACAAGGAAGAATCTGGGGTTTGGAAGAGAAAAGGGAAGGAAAGTGTCTGGCAAAACAGAAGTGAAGTTTTTAAGTGAATCCTGGGAGGAGGCAGAGAAGGCTAACAGCCACAGAGAGAGCTGAGGGTGATAGCCTTGTGTCTAGAGGAACGCCCAAACAGAGAGGCCAGTCGATGATTACTGAGGGCATCATTGGGGCATGAGTGGGGCCGGAGAGGTAGATGTTACCAGATTCCAGCCTAAAATTAAAAAGACATTGAATATTTGGGTGACAGTTTCGATGTAGGAAACAATGCTTCTTTGTGTGTATATTCTGTACCAGGAAGCAGATAACAGAAATCCTAAATATCTCATTGAAATGCCCAAGGAGTGGTAATCACTCAAGGCTTCTAGAGAACAAGGGGCGTTAAGTGGAAGTTAATTTGTCATACTCATGACCCTTATTACTAATTTAAAGTGTAAGATTGCCAGAACAGCCTTTTTATTTGTGAAGGTCTCCCCGCATCCTGGTTCTCCCTATTATTTTCTCACAGGGAGCTTCTGTTCCTCATCTGTAAATTATCCGTACCCTACAGGAGGGGGTTGTAAAAACCTGGCTCAGGACAGATGGGGAGGAATTCGTATATTTTAGTACCCCTGAATTAAAGCATTATACTTATGCATAATTGCTATTGACTAAACAAGATCATAAGATGTTAATCCCTAACAGATACTTCAATTGTTAGAGACTTCATATTTTTAGAAAACTATTGAGAAGTATAAGAAAATCCCACAAACTTTCAATTTGGAGATCTCATTAAATGAATAACACTGCATATAACTAAGCTCCCGAGCAGGTTTAAGATTTGAAGATGTGCAAATACAGATCACCATGTGTTGATTCACTATGTGGCGGTCCCTTCGAATGGATTTCAGTGACTCTGTTTTAAGAACTCTTAAAATTCTCCTCCCGTTTTTTCAGCAGTGAGCCAATGAAACATATTAGTTCCTTTTTTTTTCTTGCTTCACCTGCAGTAGTTTATAATGCACTGTGTTATTGAAGAACAAATGTATGAACATATCTTGGAAATATATTCATCAAGCATGAGCTCAAAGATCTTTACTGCCTTTACCAAAAAATTTAGCTCTTTTATTTTGCCTTTTGCAGGAGAAAAACCATACAAATGTACATGGGAAGGATGCACATGGAAGTTTGCTCGGTCTGATGAACTAACAAGACATTTCCGAAAACACACTGGAATCAAACCTTTCCAGTGCCCGGACTGTGACCGCAGCTTCTCCCGTTCTGACCATCTTGCCCTTCACAGGAAACGCCACATGCTAGTCTGAATGCCCCTGTCCTGCCTCAGCGTGACTCCCCACTCACCTGGCTCTCTCTCTCTCCTGCCTCCCATTAGCTAACACATTTTTTACATGTACATTTTAATTTGATTCAGCTGGTCTGAATCTCTGGATTTATATCATCCAAAACTTCCATATGGTCAGTAGTAGATGTTCTCTAATCCTCCCTCTCCTTACCACGGGTCAGACCTAAAGAATGTGAACACTTTTTTTTTTTTTTCTGGGGATGCTAAGCAAACCCTTCTTATAGATACGTTTAATGTAATAAGAACAAGGGAACATGTAAACTAACATAACCAATTGTCAGTTCTCCATGTATTCCTCAAAAGAATGTCAGAGTAAATGTATTAGAAATACAGTATCCAGACTGCTAGTCCTTGCCAGAGACATTCTTACCTCTTCCCTGTGCTAATATTTTATGCTTGACAGTGAAAAGAAGGGTGGCCCCTTGCACCGGTTAGCTAGAAGAAGTACAGCAAGATTTCAGGCTAGCGCAGTCGCCTCTTCCGTCATCCTTCACAAATCTTGTCAACCTGCATCTTAGACTTCAGCTGAATCGAGTTCTTTGCCCTCTTTTGTGACTGCGGCTCATATGGAGATCTTTGCCACCAATGGGAGATGAGCCCAGGCTTTTGATGTGGGCGGATGATGTGTAGAGTTCAAGGGAAGGGTGCTGTGCTTTCATAGCATGGAGTCGGAGGAGAGGGCCACTGAGCAGGGGGAGCAGAAGAGGCAATTCCTCCTGGGCTGGGGGTTGTCAGTGTGTTTTCAACATTTGGTTAGCTGTGTGCAGCATTCCCAGAGCTTCAGGCTCTGCATACTCAGCTTTGCAGAACCCTGCTGCAAAGCCATACACCAATGGGGTTATCCATGCAACTGTCTCCATTCCTACAATGCCCTTAACATGAGATCATCAAACATCGATAGTAGGGACTCCGTGGAATATTTGCCCAGTAATGGTAAGACATCTTTTGGGTAAGAGTATGGATGGTTCTTCTTTTACCCAATCTGCTTAGAGCCTTTTTATGTAAACAGGGAAATGTTGAGTGGTACTTGTATTCCCTTATCAAATTAATCACATAGCTTTTATACAGAAACTCTTCTGTGGTGCCAAATTGACTGTCATTTGTATTCATGACGCATACCATAAAGCATCTGCTAATGCTTTAATATTGATTTAATTAAGACCTGAGTGACACTATTTGTAAATATAACTAGTTGTGAAGCACACATACCTTTATTTTGGGAATTTATGAAAAAATATAGAAAACCACAGATCAGGGATTCATATATGTAGCTCAAAAATTCCCAGAAGTTTACTGTTAGAGCTGGCGATTTTCTATCACTATTTCAGTGTCAGAAGAAACTGAAAATAATGGCTCGTGTTTATGTTGAAGATAAATAGCACCATGTATTGGGGGAAGTTATTCAAAAGCAGGCTTTTGAACATATAGTCTAAAATAAAAATAATTCATACATAGAAATGTCATTGGTCATGAATTTGAAGAAAGTGAGCAACAGTCATTAAATGTGGGTGCATATAACCAAATTCCCCTTCATCAAGAATGGAGGAGAAGAGAGAAGAATGAAATCCTGAAGATTCATCCCAGCCACAACTCAGGATCCAACACAACTTTAACTGGGAGGAATACATTGTTTCGCCATTTTTAAAACATCTGTGAATGAGTGATTCCAGAGGCCTGTGAATTGTGTGGGGAGCTTACTTTGATGGCACTATGTTAATAAAAGTTGTAGGGACTGTGCAGAGGTCCCACTCATCTGCCCTGTGAACCAGCTATAAAGACACGTAGTTGAGAAATGCAAAGAAATGTGTTATCTTGGCACTTGGGTTTGATTTTCTTTTTTTTAAAGCACTGCAAATTGGGGTCTTTTTTTAAGCTAAAGTTTTTCTCTTTTGCAACTATGACATGAATTGAGTGATAAAATGGCTCTTTGAAAAGTAGATGTTGTCTGTATTGTAAATGCTTGGTCATAATTCATGGCAGAGTGTTCATTTCTTGAGATAGTTCTTCCACAACACGCAAGAGTCAAGATGGAATGCAAGGAAAACCTTGTTTTGATGGAGGTAACCAGTTTATGTGTGTTCCAATCCATAGAGAAGCGGGGAAGGGGCGAGAAAGGATAAAACTGATCTAAGATCGGCTCTGGGCCCGAGTTCAGTGAATAGCCTCATGGGCATCTCATGGAATTGATGCGTTTGCTGCGGCATATTTAAATTTTGTTCAAAAGATTTTAAGCAAGACTTGGCAAAGACTCCTATGTTACTGTCCAGCTTACTTAGATTGTGTTAACAGTTCATTTAACAAAGATCCATTTTAACTGTGGAGCAGAAGCAACCCAGAGCAGCCATTCTCTATTCCCATGCTGGTCAATATGCTTTCATTACCAATTGGCCCTTACCAAACTTTTCTTATATATATATATTTGTATTTTACTATGATAGTTGAGAAATTTAGCCTTTTAGTCATTTTTAGCTGTTACTGTGGAAGACCTCAAATACAAGATTAGATGCCCTTGAACATGTTTTAATGATGTGTCATGTTAGTATCAATGGTGATTTCAATCGCAGTATTTTAAATTAATGAAAATGATTTGTAAACATGAAGTTGGTATTATGTAAATTCTGTTTGTTAGAGAGTTTCTTCAGTTGTTACCCAAGTGTCATCCTAGAGAAGTCAGAAGAATCAGAATCCATCATATTTTAGAGTTTTGTGAATCTCCATCAATGGGCATTAACATTCTAAATTGCTTGGTTTGGAGAATGTGTTAGCAGCATAGCTACATTCAAGTAAGGAGATGCTAAATACACAGAAGTTTCAAGAGCCTTGGAACAGAATTACAGGGGAACTGTATATGTATATCCTATTAAACACCCATCTGCACTATCAGTATTGCACTAATATGGATTTTTGAAAGACTATTTTGCTGATACTGTATATCTGCTCATCATTCCTGATTAGATTGTTTTAAAGACAATCTGAAAGATCCAAGGTTTTAAAATAATTTGGCTTGAAAATATACAGTTGTCTTGAAGGAATTGCTGTCATACATGAAGTTGCACCGAGCTGTCTTTATTCTCTTCTTGGTCAAGGTTAACAATTGCTAAATGATCGCAAATTCACCTGAACAATAAATACATTTACAAAGCCATCTTTACATGCATTAAACGAGGGCTACAACGATATTGTTTTACAAATACTAGCACTTTTTTTCTGTTATGTACTTAGTGTTAGAGGGTCAAAATAATCTTTCTGCTTAGCATCTCTTAAACCATACCTGCAAATATAGCAGGATTATTACATTTACAGTACTTTAATACTTGTATAAACTATGCAGAAATTTTTAATAAAGTGTAATATATTTTATAAGCTAATAAGACTGAATGGGTAAAGGTTTTTAGCATGCATTAGTATACTTGCAGATACTGAAACATTTTGGTAATCTTTCTTACTAAAGATGTGAATGTTTAATGTACCTTCTCCGTTTCTACTCTGTAGTCCAATGGGAATTCAGTAATGACATTTTGTCATGTCAAACTGTGAACATAAATTTGTACTGTACAGTCCTCATATATATACAGTATGCAATATATATTATATACTTGTTAATAAAACCATCAGAATATTAAATGTGATCATGTGATGACTTCATATGCAGTGGTCACTACAACAAAACTCAGAGCAATTTAAGAACCCCCGCTTAGAACTTTACTTACTGTGATGGGCAGTTACTGTTGATGAAGGTACAGAAAAATAGATCTAACTGGAAAAGGCACTGAAGGAATGAACTCAGCCCTCAAGCTATGTCCCTGGTTTTCTGAAAATAGCCAACATGAAGTCTTCCAGGTTCAAATTATAAAACAGCAGACAATCCAGCAAAAATCTAGAAACTCACCTAGTTCATTCTTGAAATACTTTGTTTATGACTCCCCCTGCCTACTTCCAAAAAGAACTTGCAGTGTATTGTATTAAAAGATGCATATGTATAATACTTTAAACTTTTAGAGTAAAATACCAAGAAATGCTGGGGAGTGGGGAACTAGGAACAGGACAATAATGCAATAAAGTAAATAATTCTGGATAAAAATATTTTTCAAGCCTTTAGTAACCATGTCCATGGATGCCGCAGTCTCCAGCATCACATGAAGAAGTCATTTCTGATAGGGATTTAGAATTGGCATGTTTTTGTTTTTACATAGTCTTGCTGTGTTGCCCAGGCTGGCATGCAGTGTTGTGATCTCACTGCAACCTCTGCCTCTTGGGTTCAAGTGATTCTCCTGCCACAGCCTCCCGAGTAGCTGGGACTACAGGCATGTGCCACTGCGCCCATCTAATTTTTCTATTTTTAGTAGAGATGGCCAAGTTGGTCTTCAACTCCTGTCCTCAAGTGGTTCACTTGCCTTGGCCTCCCAAAGTGCTGCAATTACAGGCATGAGCCACCGTGCCCAGCCAAGGATTTGGAGTTCTTTTAAGGCAAAATGTAATCACCTCTCCTCTTCCCTCTGCATCCCTGCAATGTAATTGAAACAGGCTAAATTGTTAGTCTCAGCAGTTTCCTCCAGCCTGGACTTCATCTTAGCAAAACAAAAGATAATGTCTGGCCTGCACTTCCCACATGACTTACCTTCACAGATTGGAGAGTGGAAGGAGGTTGGGAGAAGGTAAAGTTTAGACTTTGGGGCACTCTCCAGCCTTCTCTAGGGAACTTGACTGCTTATATATTGAGGTAGTTGACTGCAAGCTCAAAAGCAAGTGTATGTGGCTGTTAACCTAGTGGAATACCGGCTTGAGTTAGTCCAGATGACTGGCTGTAATCCTTCCACTGTTTCTTTATCTTTTTTTTTTTTTTTTTTTTGAGATGGAGTCTCTCTCTGTTCCCCAGGCTGGAGTGCAGTGACATGATCTCAGCTCACTGCAACCTCCACCTCCCAGGTTTAAGAGATCCTCCTGCCTCAGCCCCCTTAGTAGCTGGGATTATAGGCACACGCCACCATGCCCAGCTAATCTTTGTGTTATTGGTAGAGATGGTTTCGCCATGTTAGCCAGGCTGGTCTCAAACTTCTGACCTCAGATTATCCACCTGCTTTGGCCTCCCAAAGTGCTGAGATTACAGGCATGAGCCACTGCGCCCGGCCAATTCTTCCACTATATTTCTCAAGCATGACTTGACACTTGCTGAGTTCAGAATAAGATCCATCCTTCTTATTCTGAAGAATTATTACAAGCTGGATTATGCCCAGGTGAATGATCAGGATGGTGACAAATGTAGATTCTATGAGAA